CAAATAAACTTTACATATTAAAAGTATATTTTCCGATAGATTTTTTGCATGACAACATAAATTTCTAATGAAAAAGATTTTTTTTTTTGGATAATCCTAATGTTCTAATATTCAGATCAGAAGTTTTGATATCATAGGTCTAATCGCAATACAAAAATTGACTAAGAGTATTTTTATGCTAACTTTTGGTTATGATGCAGAACTTTTGTTTTCATAAATTAAACAATAAGTTTATAACTTTCTATTATTTCATAATAAACATTACTTATGAATTTCGTAACTGTTGATATTTATTTTTATTTTATAACATTATTAATACTCATAGAAAAACTCAAATATATTTCGTACCATTTCACAATTTTGTCCACCAAAACTATCAAAACAATCACATTTATATGTTCCTGGTAGATTAATACAAGTTCGTGCTGCTTTACATGGTTGTATTATTTTACATTCATCAATATCTTCTGAACAATCAATACCAGTCCATCCTGGATCTAAATATTTAAAATAGATAATTATTTTCTCGTTTTTTTTTTTTGTTTCAATATAATCCTTATACCACAAACACATGTATAACTATTTGGTAAATCAATACAATGACTATGTTTTGGACATGGACTTGATTGACATTCATCAATTGGATATTGACATTGATCACCAGCAAAGCCTTGAAAAAATATTGATATTAAAATCACAAAAAAAAAATGATTAACTTTACCAGATGGACAAACACATTGAGTAACATTTCTTAATAAATCAACATAACAAACGCCTCGATTTTGACAATGATTATGTAAACAACGAACAGGTATTGTTTTTAATCCACATTCTAAATCTAAAGAAGAAAAAAAATCGAATAATTGTTAAAATATCTACATTTACAAAATTAATATAACAGATATTAATAAATATTTACCAGTAAATGGTCGACAATCAAATATTTTAAATAATGGACAATACTGTTCTGTATTTGTCGTTGATGTACATGTTCGATGTTCTATACAAAACAAAAAAGATCGAATTCAAAAGAATCCAAAAAAAAAGAATTTTTTCTAACTAACCACATGTTTTAATATTAATAAAACAATTATTAAAATTAGTATTAAAACCTGAATAAGGTAATAAACATGTTACATTTGTTTGTTGTTCATCAATAAGTATATTAACATTTAATTTCGTTGTTAAATTTTTATTTGGATAATCAATTAATGGTATTAAACGTGTTTCATCACCATTAAATGATATAAATACTTTTGATAAATAATCATCAAATGTTATATTAATATAATGCCATGTATCTATTTCATGATAATAATCAATAGCTGTTTGAAATTGATAATCAAAACTAGCTGTATATGGTAATAATAAATTAAAATTTCCAAATTTATATTCAATATGTTCATTATTATATGTATATATTATATGTAAACGAAAATCTTTTGTTATTAATTTAAATAATTGTTTATCAAATGTTTGTTGATAATAATAATGTTCAATATTAATTAAATTTATATTAGGTAAACATGTACGATAACTAAATGTTATACTTTTTGATGATATATTATGTATTATAATAATAAATATAAATAGATAATAATAAATGAAAATATTTTTAATTAATTTACTTTGAAACATTTTTTAATTGTATTTTTTTTTTTTTACTTTGTCAATAATGAAAATGTATAGAGGAGACAATCATCATCATCTTCTATATTCATTAAACAATATGTAAGTCGAAATGACGACGGACGGACAGGTCAATAAAAGCATTAATATGAAAACATCAAACAAATAAACAAACGAAATAGAAGACGAAGAAGGAAAAAGAGAGAAAAGTGACTGTTTTGTGACCCTCTCTTTTCTTTTTTTTTTCGATAAACGAAGAGTCGAGTCGGAGAAGAAGGAAGAAGAAGTTCATATATTTGACGTTTCAATTTCTCGGGGTGAACGAACATATTAGAGATATGTTAACATTCGATAATCTCCTTTTTGTTTTTCTCTTTAATTTAACATATATATGTCAATGACAAATGTAAACAAAGAATATTTAACAAGCAAAAACTAAATCAAGTTTTGCTTCTTTTTTTTTTTTAAATATAATTTTCTTCTCATTAACTATGGATAACGAGAGAGATGAACTTCATATTATATTATCGTATCATCTTTCATGCTTGATAATAACGTGTACCGTTTTTGTTTAATTAGATACTGCTCAAGAAGTATGCGCGTGTAAATGTTAGAGTAAGATAGATGAATTAATGATAAAATAATCATACGTATTAAAAACAAAAATATATATCTATATACAATGAATGACCATTCATTATTGATGGATGAAGTAAAATTTGCCACATTAATTTTTAGTTTTGATATAGTGTTGGAATGTAATATTTTGAAGATATGATTATTGTGTTATAACACGCAAAATTCCTATAATCAAAAGAATTTGATTTTAGTAATTTCAGTCGTATAATTAAAAATTCTATGTCGAGACAGATGTTATCAGAAGTTTATATATTTTAAAATGAAAAAAGAAAATTTATTAATTTCTCTATTAATCTTTTATTGTTATCGTAAAGTGTAAGTGAATTAAGTTTACAATTTTTCATCTATTTTGTCTTACTAAAGTTGTTATCTGTTGTTTTCTAATAGATGTTTATTCGTAAATAATAATTCTGGTTTTCGTTAAACTATATAAAATTTGTGATTATTTTCTGATTCACACTATGTTCGGTTGATTTGATTTGTATTCATTTGAAAAAATTTTTAAATCATAAGATAAAGATTTTTATACTGAAGTGAATGGATATAGAGCTTTTTCTTCAGTAGTATTGCAATACTCGTATGGAAACAATTTTATTTTTATTGCGTGTATGAATATTGATATATAATCTTTATGAAACTAACAAAGGATTGAAGATGAGTAACACTGTTGTTCTATGAACATTCATTGAATAGAGAATTGATGAGCGAAGTTAGTTTTATTGTGATCTTAGCAGAGTAGTTCAGAACAAAAGCAACAATATCAAATCTCTATGATGTGACATTACAATGTTATATTGAAGGTAAAGTTAATGCAAAAGCTTTGTTGCACTCATTGATTTTTTTATGATTGAAGTTAAAAAAAAAAAGAATTTTGATACAGTTGTTATTGCATTGACACTGTTTTATTGACTTCAAAGGAAACATCTTTCGATTAAATGTGATGTCTGTCATATTGAACAAGATGAAGAAATATCTTTTTTTTTTGTTTAAAGTAACACGACGATGTTAATAAAACCGCGATGATTGAATATCAAACTTATTTTCTTCACTAATCTTTAGTGTTTGAGATATAGAAAGAGAACTATTTGATATCTTTTGTATTATTTCAATAGAAAAAAAAAACTTTTTATTTGCTCGTAAATTTATAGAGTTAGATTTGTGATAAAAGATGATATTTTAATCATTCATTGAATGAAATAAAGGATCATTATATGCATTAATCGATGATTTGAAGTTACCCATTCATTATATGATATCGTATCAATCATTATTTTGATGATCTTACTGATAGAATATAAGCTTCATTTCTAGGTTAATCTTTGTTATTATGTTTCATTTTCCTTTTTAGTTATAATCAATTTTCGTTTCTTATAAATATTTATATCTATAGATAGTTGTTGATTTGTTACGCGTTCTGGAATCATATTTGTATTGAAACACTTTTTAATTCTAAATTTTATAACGATTTTTTGTCTGTGTCAATAACTCACGAAAATAGTGTACTGATAAAGATTGAGGATTAAATAAATTTCATAATTTAAGAACATGTTTACAAGAAAAATTTGATCATATTATAGACGAATGAACATGGATCAATAACCTAGTCATTATCATGTTCAGCAAGTGATAATAACTTTTTTTCTATAACTACATGTGTGTGAACAAAGAAAAAGATATTATATTCTAAACATTGATGTCAAAACATTTTTTGCATATGAGCTCATAAGCATAGGCTTATCTTGATGCTAAAATAGGTTTAACAATTAAACTTTGTCCATACTATGGGCTCAAACAAGTTAGCAAACAAAAAAACTATTTATCGTAATGCATTAGTTCTAGTCATGTATCAAGTAAACGAGTTATCAGGGGCTCTTTTCTTATTTTGCTGGTTCAAAATACGTTAGATTACCGTTCAAAAACTTATTTGTTTGCATAGGTAGAATGAATGGATACTCTTCAAACGACAATTCATAACAACCTATTTGTTCTAAGGCATCAAAAATTCTCTACAAATAATGTTCTGATCTTGTTTAGAACACATTATCACTTTTTGAATATTCATATAATCTAAAGCAGATCATATTTTTGTCGAACTGAAATTTTGAATACATTCAGATGATCGCAAGCTTATGATGAAGTGATATTTGCGGGATGGAAATCTGTAATTCTTTTTGTTTTTCTATACATGCTTCCACAGCGAGCGAAACTTCAGTAAATTATTGTAATTCGATCAAGATAGAATAGTTCTTTCGATCTTTTTTTGATATCAAACTAAGAAACTGATCCAATCCAAGTATCTATCTCTTTGTTTCTTTTTCATCTTTGTTAGATATCATTTTTGAGGATGACGACGTTCTGTCTCCAACTTTAAACGCCTTTCTGGTGTAGATTTGACCCCAAACACACATACATTTTCTCATCAAATCCTTAAGGTAACTATAATACCACATGTCATCCTCGTCTCAAAATAATTTACAAGTCGAAAAGTATGATTTTTTGATATGGCCAATATATATATATAGTTGCATCGGTCTCAGCTTTTGCACTGGACACGATTCATTTTTCATCGTATATGAATTATTTCACAATCCGAAACATCGATACACGGAATACAGAATGCTGTTTTCTGCATTTTCAAAAACTTTGTATATGTGAATACGATATAGTTGTTTTATTATTAGAAATTATTGAATATATGTAGGATGGAAATATCATAGCAAACGGTGATTATTTTAACAATGATGATGCCTTCGGCGATCACGTGAATGCTTCTTTTTATGGTGTTTACCATGACCTTTGCCGTGGCCTTTACCATGATGACTATCATCGCTACTGCTAGAGCTACTACTGTGACGATGTCGATCCTTGGAGCCACTTCCATGGTGATGACGATCTTTGGAGTCACTTCCATGGCGATGACGATCTTTGGAACCACTTTTATGGCGATGGCGATCACGAGAGTGTTTAGAATCTCGATCTTTCTTAGAATCATCATCGCTACTACTTGAACTAGAGCTACTGCTTCGACGTTTACGATCACGAGAGTGTTTACAATCTCGATCTTTCTTAGAATCATCATCGCTACTACTTGAACTGGAGCTACTGCTTCGACGTTTACGATCACAATAGCTTGCATCACGAGAACCACTGCCATGTTTTCGACGCTCTTGTTTGCGTTGATCACGATTATCTCCTTTATTCCGGCGCCCATCTGGTTGATATTTTATTGCATCAGTTAGTTCAGATAGATTTTCGAAGACCGAATCATTGTTATGGTTATGTTGCTTGTCCCAATTAAGTGACATCGAATTAATATCAATCAATCGATGATCGAAAGCGATATCAAACGACAATATTACAATATACTAATGGTGGATTACAAATGTATATATATATATACATAGATATTAACCACCATATCTTATCCGATCAACCTACGTTATCTCGTGTAAAATGTATGAATCACATATTTGGATATATAAAACACACCCACTATAATCCTACAAAAATATCATATTCTTGACATCGAATAAGTAAAATAAAAGGGGTGATTCACTAATTGAATATTGATCACTAAAACAACACTGTCAATAAAATGGAGATGTTTTTAGGATGAAAATAGTCGCCGCCTACTTCGAATGTTCTGTGCAAATGCGCATACCAGTAATGATGCATACATCAATCTACGCCACAATATTGACTCGAAGATCGCATGACTCTTCGTATATTTATTTTCATGTAAAGTAAGAAGAAAGAAAACAGTTTATAGTCCTGAGAAGCAAACGAAATCAAGACACACATCGTTTTACGGTGTTTCTATAGAATTTTGTTCTACAATATTTTATATACCTATCGATGCTACTTTAACAAGAGCAGTGAGTAAGGTCAAAACTTTCATCTTGTTTATTATTTAATAAAATACATTGAGGAATCTTCATTCGTATTCAAATAAATAATCATTGGTGCATAACAAGACTGAGACATATGATACACAGATGAAGAAAACAAAAAAAAAAGCATTTTTCTTATATTTCATTGTGATAACACATCGATAGCGTTTTATGTATATTCCTCCCAATTTTTCTTCGTCAGTTAGACGTTGATCTCCGTTTAAGGCTTCTTTTATATCTATAGACACATTTCTCTTTTTCTTCCTTGGTAACAATCATCATACAAATCACACATAAGTAAATTTTATCTCGATAGACGAACACGTCAAGAGAATTAATCGATTGTATATTTACAAATTTGTTTCAACAGTTGAAAGGCGCAGTAGCACTAGTGACCTTTGCCATTTTAATTATTGTCGAGTTGAATTTGGAGATCGATCCAGCGATTGATTTAACACTTGGTCATATTCAGCATTTAATAAATAGATACATATCATCTGTTAAAAATGTTCACGGTTTTCGAAAGTGCTATGAATGATCCTCAAGTTGTTATTCTCGTCGACAGCTAAATTTTTCAATTTTATATCGTGTTTGAGATTTGATTTACTAATTATTCAATGAGTAAACAAGAACAAGCACCATACTTGAGAAGAAAAATTGATGCTGCTGGTCGTCGTGAATATTTGTGAAATTTCTTAGTAAGGTACAATGAAAAATAGCTAGCAATGTAAGCATATGACTGAAGTGCAAGCGTGAAAAGAAATGTATAATGACTTTTCTGACACTCACTTATCTATCGGTACTTGTCTTACGCTTTGTTGAGATATAGCAATGAAGATCTTCATTTATCAAGCAACAACAGTCTATACAAGAAAAGCTAGCTTGTACTGATGTGTGTATGATTCTTTCTGTTTGGTCACATGAAGAGAGACCATACAATGATCAGTATCATTGAATATACGAGTCGGTTAATTACACTCGTGACTTGGAATTGCATCGATTGTGGTATGAAAAGTTTTTATAATATGTTGGACTCTATTGAATAATAGATTTTTTCATATTCATCATATAATGAAACACTTCAAAACTTATCTCAGAAGACTCAAATATTAGAACAGGAGAACATTAATTGCATTAGTCAATATCTATTGTTCTGTCTTTCTATCATATCAAACACAATTTGTCATTCATTAATGTGTTCAACTAAGATATGAATAAAGCTTTTGATTTGTTCTATTGCCATCATGTCTTGTATATAGTTCATTACTCTTAATACCAGTTCCATTTATCGACCAATGAGCTAATGAATGTAACCAGCAAACATATTTGTCTCATGAAATTTTGAAATTTTGAATGGTCTTGTTCATTATATTAATGCATCTTATTACGTAATTGGTGATATTGTTGCTGGTACTTCCGAATCTCTTGGTTTCTATACAACAATGAAGACTATTTGATTTGAAGAAATATAATAAAAGTAGTACCTCCAGCTTGCCAGAAAATTCACTAGAGACGATATCAAGGAGTGATTTTTGCCATTGTTTTGACCAACAACAATAGCTATGTACATCCTTCATTCGAATGATTAACTCAGAATCGGTTTTCTTTGGCTTCAATGAATGACTGAGATAGGATACTATGATGCCAACAATCAGCACCGTACCAACAGCAATTGGTGTATACCACATGTGACTCACTGAATAAAGATTAAGTAATGGATTGGATCTAAAAATAAAGCAAAATTCATATGATAATTCAAATGGATACCTACAACATAGATAGTGCGTCTATGAATACATTGACAATATTTTCAGTTCTTTCATCGATCAAATGAATATTACGGATAGTGAGAGAAGCAAAATAAAAAAAGACATTCGGATTTATCATTTATTGGACTATTGAACCAGATAGAGTTAAACAAATATACATGAAAAACTTCTCAAGTTTTGTTATGAACACGAAAAAGGTTAGCTAGAGAAAAAATCAAAGGAACAGGTCAATGTTCAATTACTCATTATGATTATCTCAATTAGGTCCACAGAGAGTGTAACTCAATGGCTACTTACTTGATGCTGGGTGCTGTATTTGTCGTGCTCGTCATCATCAATGCCGATACATTGATATGTGTGCAATTGACTACTGACAAGGGCAATTGGTTATTGCTTCTTTGATTTTTTGTTAATTGTACACCAATAAAAATCCATATTTGCAACGCTAAACTAGCGAAAAATCCAGCTAAGGCTCCTAGTGAATTTGCTTGTGGACAGAAAAATCCAAGTAAAAATACGCCCATGATCGGTCCGCAAAGGGTACTAGATAGTGATATCGCTGCATTGATCACTGAGCCCAAATAGCTTACGATGTAGGTAAGAACTACCACCACTACACCTATGAAGACTGAAAATATTTTTGATACAAAGCCTTGTCGCTCATTGCTTAGTTGTCGCCCCATCAGTCCTTTGTAAATATCTTCGATAATAACTGCTGCCAGACTATTGAGTCCAGATGAAATGGTTGAGAGCGAGCCAGAGAATACACAAGCAAGAAATAAACCTGGTATACCCTTCTTTTTGCCTAAGGCATCCATAATGAAATATGGAAAGATCTGATCAACATTTTGGACGTGACCAGCCGTAAATGGATCGCATCCGGCATAGTATGCATAGAGAATGACACCCATCAAACCTGAGAGAAGTATCAAAAGACCAACACCAAACATATTGATAAAAAGAGCTGCTTGTGCTCCCCGTGTTGATCGAACACACATATACCGTTGTACTTGCATTTGATTGAAACCATAGGTCAACAATGCATTAAAAGAGTTACCAATCAAAATTGACCAAATTGTGTGGCGTGTTCGAGGATCGAAACTGACACTAAATCGATACGAACAGGTAGAATATTTGTCGATATACAATCAGTGACGATGAGCTTACTTATCAAATTCAATACGGCCACCTTGTGAAGCAATGGAAAATGCTCGTTTGAAGCCACCAACCAGAATCAAACCTAGCACAAGAGAGACAAACAAATTGCTTTCATTCAGTTTTAGAGTAAATTTCAAGGATTTAGGCAGTCCTCAATCAGTTAATATATACTCATAAAGAAAGTTTAAAAAGAAGGAAGTGGATTGGCAAATAGCTTTACTAATTGTTGTTTTGATAGATATTATAGAACTCCATGGGTTTCATCCTACAAAGACTAGCTCAACATTTTTTTGGTATTTAGCTACAATAGCAATACACCTATCATTTTCAGATGCATGAACTTGCCTTCAACGACGGCCACGAGAACACCAGCATACATGACCAATGCTTGCAAAACATCGGTCCAAATAATTGCCTTCATGCCACCCTACATATACCAACACTTATCAGATTCTTTTGTCCTGAATACTATCAGATATAGGTACATACCACTGAAGAATAGAAAGTACAAACTACACCAATAGAGATGACTGAAAGCCATTTGTTCAATCCCGTAGCTACAATTCACTGTCGAAATTAAATCAGCATATACTTTCATTTACATACTTTGACTAAGTGCCAATGATGGAGCATAGAGTACCAGAGCCATATATATAAGCTTTAAATATTAGAATATAGAGCATATCTGTATAAGTGAATCTTACCGCACCATGTATACTGAGAAAGTAATGGAGACACACGTACGTACTGATTGATCGAAACGTTTCTCTAAATACTGATATAAGCCTAATTTCTTTATTTCACATCACGTCTAGAAGTATCCCACCTCATAAATACTTGTATAGTTCATTTCACGAAATTTAGGCATGAAAATAAAAGCCGTTAACATCGATGCAACACTCCATGAAGCAGCTGCAAATGTAAAAAGACAGTGACAATGAATAATATGATCATTATTTTAGAGTTTTCTCACCTTGATACCAAAACATTGTTCCAGACATGTACACTTCACTTGGAGTACCCAATAAAGTAATGGCAGAAAGAAATGAAACCATGATACTCAGCGCTGTAGGAAGCACGCGCATTTCACCGTCCGCTGAAATGAAAGAGAATGACGATGACCCAACGAGAAACAAGTGCGACTCCACTACTTCAAAGACCTGGAGTTGCATCTTTTTTCCTTGCTATTATCTTTAATCGTTCTACGTACCTAAAAGAAATTCTCTCGCTGAAGTTTTCTTAGATTTGACAAAGCCAAAGATAACACCGATGACAGCCGATGACAACAGCAATAGCACAAAGACAACATAATCAGCGACGCTCAGTGTCGGTAAGTCCATTGTTCAACAAGACAGCAACGATTCAGTGAAAATACAAAATAATCTTCTTTTACTCTCCTATAAAACAAAAAAAAAGTTCTTTTTTCAATCATTTCTTTTTCTCTTCATCTTGTCTTATTACAAATACATTTGAATGCATATGTCATAG